ATGGTTGTATTTGATGGGAGATTTAAATTTATTTCACTCAATTCAATCTTAATGTATACATAGTAGCTTGTGCAGGCTCTGACTGGGAACGATTTTCGTGCCCTGGCATTTTTCCACCTACACCGGCCCACTTATGGACCCCCCTTTAAAAAAAATAGAAGCACAGTCAAACGCGTGCGTCTCAGATGTGAAACACAATACAAATACACATTGTGGATTAACCAATCTATCTTCAAGCATCATATGATAATCATCACTAAGACTTCTATAATGCAGTTTTTGGCTTTGGTTATTAACACGGATGTGACTGACTGCTGCTGCATAACGTCCAGCTGGGTTGCCAGATGTAACTGACTCAAGTTTCCGGCCTAAAAAAATTTCATAAACTGCCTGGATATATGAAATCTTCCCCAATTTGAACCAAAGTCTATTTATCTCTTATGCCATATATCTGAAGAAAATTTAAACTGCCAGTTTGGGAAACATCCCAACCTGGCAACAATGCACGTAACACGAGAAACGTTAGTTTTTAGATGCAAAACCCCATCATGCACCGCAACATATTTTTGCAAAATATTCAAACATAAATTCTCCAAATATAAGAGGAACATCGTAGGTTTAAATAAAGCATTTTAGTTTTATTATAAATCAGTTTGCTGCATGGATTTTATAGTAGAAAATTACACCATATTCCAACCGTCACAAGGATGTGCTTTACAAGGAAGGGCTATATATACTGCATGCATCATTTAGGTATTTAACATTGTATTACTTCTTGAGCTCCTTCAGTTATTTTCTGTCACAGGTAGGAGATTCGGTGGGAGAGTAAATGTTGGGGCCGGAATGATATAAGGAGGGCCGGCCCTCGCACTCTGAAATTAGGACAGGCCGGTATCCCAGATTTCCCAGAGCATGTGTGTAATGGCACACTTCAAATGTTGTCATTTTTTTATCACATTAGGCTGAAAAACCTGAATATATTTTGTTATTTTATTGAATATTCTACACTAGGGTCAATGCATATTGCTTTGTTTTAAATGATTAAAAATTAAACTCTGAATAGTGTGCCCCGCATTTATGAGCACCAGCTGTTTAGTTATGGAAGAAATTAAATATGACTTAAGTTTGAATTTGGATTATTTAGAACATTAAATATGCTTTCATCTTAACCATTCAAATTTAGTTCTGGTTGTATAAGGTTGATGTTCTGCTACGAGGTGATGCTGTAAGAACTTTTACTTTCATCCCCACATCATAATGCGTTATAAACCATGACAATTATCCTGTTGAAAAGTCATTCAGTGTTTCAACTGCTACTGTTAGCAGCAGGTGATTCTTAAATTTTGAGTCAAATGAACAGAAGGTATAATTATAAGGTACATTTATAAAGTCAGACACTGATGCTGATTGGCTCCGCCCCAATTTTTCCCAAATTAGTTGTAACATATTAAAGCCCAGACTGTATACCCAGTAGTTATTTCACACCAAACTCACTCATTCTGGACTTTTATGGTGCTGTGGTGTAACTCCATGTTAAAGCAAGTAGCAACCATCTTTAAATGAAATTCCAAAGAGTCAAGAGTATAAAGTTATCTGAAATATGCTTGGTTTTCTGATGCATCAATATTCCCCTTCGCAGGAGCAAAGGGGGTAAGCCCAAATTCTAAAAAAAAAAAAAAAAAAAAAAAAAGGCCCTGTTGCTCCTATGTTTATATTAAAAACAAATCCTTCAGACATGTTTAAAGTTGTAGGGAAGTCATAATTAAATTTAAAATAATTCTGGCTTAAACATGTGTATATAAATGTACTCTTTATCAAAACATATTGTCCCAAAAGTTAGAAATTTTCGATTTTAAAAATAATCCTGTCTTAAATTCTACTGTGTCGTTACGTCATTGTATTCTGGTGGTAAAAAAGTGTAGAGATAATTGTAAATCATGTCACAAGGAAGATATTCATGGATATTTTTGCCTTCTAATTATTCATCTTAATTCTGTGCATATGAATGATGCACAGTAGAAGTTGCTCCATCAGCCATATTATAATCCGTTTTCTTAGCATTCAGAGGTAGTGAGTGACGTGTTCCTTGATGGGCCAGGCAAAGCCAATCTCTGCAGATCTGTGCTCTTTTTCTGTAACACTTGTCTCCGTGTTAACACAGAAGATCTGTATCCACATAGGTGTGTAGAAATCATCAGGATGAATAGGTGTACCAGTAGTGAATATGGAGATTTGGTGAAAAAAAGATCATTTTCTGAGGTTGTTTGTAGTTTTTGTCTCCCTTTGCTTGACGTGTCTCGTGGCCTTCTATTTGCAGCCTTGTTTTTCTGTGTACAGATGAGGCAGAAGCTGTGATCGGCTGAATATTGTGAACACTATAATTTTCTTAAGAGTACAGTTTGTTTTCCTTGCAACTTCCACACAAGATGGACCTGCTTCTGTATTAAAAACAAAGACATTTACTTATGTTTTACGGTTTTCTTTTATAACTTTTTATATTGAAAGAATATTTCTTACCTGAATCAAGCCTACAATGATCTCATCACTGTAAAGAAATCTTTTAAAATAATTTCAAAACATAAACTAAGAAAAATGACACTATCTTTAACTTTACATGGGTTGAATACATTCATCTCACACACCTACAGAAAGACAAACATTTTTATTTGGTTTTAAAATACATATGAAACAATTACAATAAATAAGATCCCAAATGTTTACAAAAGTTATCACAAACTGTACACATGATGATGTTGGTGGCAGTTGTTCTCGCTCAATACAGATCAAACCGAATAGTTAAACAGTTACAGCTCAAAGCTCTAGTCTCCTACATATTGAACAAGTTGATAAGTTAAAGTTGGCTTTGCTGGGTTCTCCAGCTCCGCTAATTGGTTCACGACTATTACAGGACGTGTAGAAATGTCACTTGACTACAAGTCTGAGATTTTCAAAGTGTCAACAAACAATAGAAATACATTTTGTTTTTCTTTGTTTTCCTTAAATCCACAACGACTTGTCAGATTTTTACCTCTCAGTATTTACAAACGGAGCTGCTAACAATTACAACCCTGTTTCCAAAAAACTGTTGGGCTCTGTGTGGAATTGGATAAAAACAGAATGTTTTTATTCAACAATAAAAAGCCTAATTTATTCTAAAGTAACAGGTAACAATGGGTAAATGAATTGGAGAGTTTAAAATTTAGCACAGTCCCAACATTTTATGAAACAAGGCTGTATAAAAAGCTTTAAGTGTGTGTGTGTGTGTCTTTGTATATATATATATACATATATATGTATGTTCTCTGTAAACATCAAGTTTAATATTGTTAATGTGGAACATTGCACTCTTTTCCCACAGTAGGTGCTTTAATTTAAAGTGGCGACAGGCATGCTACAAGTAAAAATACTAATTTTTTTTCTTCATATTAAGAACAAAGCAAAGAAAAAGCATCTTTTACTGCATGTGCAATAAGATAACAGTACATAGCCTTTTCTAATTGCTATGCTGAGTTGTAAGTTTATTACAAACATTGAGAGATGGATTCTGTAGTAGCTATAGAAGTCCAGAATTTAAATCTATGTGGAAAAATGTAAACAGAAATATTTGTGTGCAGGTGAAGCTTTTTTTCTGAGAACACTTCCCTGAATTTCAGACAATAAAAAATGTTCAATGAAGGTTTCTGTATATGTAGTTTCTTTTAACATCACTTTTATTTTTCATTCACCCAATGCGATAAGTAACTTAAAATATTTAAAGTTTGCATCATCTACTGTATTTTAAATGTTTGTGCCATTGATTGAACAGTTGCAGTCAGATGTTTACACAGCTTGATCTCCCCAGGTTTAAAATAGTTAGATGGATAAAACTTAACATCAAGTTTTTAAAGTTATTCTCTCTAATCCAAATAACAACTGTTGTGCCAAATCGGTGGTAAACATCCTCTTATGTGTTTATTAAAATCATGTGGCGCTTGCACCCATGCACTCACACCAAGGGTAATTATGAGTAACCATTAACTTAACAGTCATATTTTTGGGCCATGGGACGAAGCTGGAGAGAACTTAGGCTTGCAAAAGGAAAGAATTTTAGACTTCATGCAGGAAGACTGACAGTGGTAACAACTGCTCCATTGTGAAGCAATGCGATTGATCCAAAAAACAATGAGGGTGTACACGGCAACTCTCTTAACTCTGTACACAAAAAAGTAAATCAACTGTCTTTAACACAAACGGTGTTTCAGCCGTTATATAGTGGCCATTTGCTCAACATATTCTCATTATGAGTGCGTGTGAAATCGTACGAAAAGTTATGCACACTATTTCGTACGTTTTTGGACGTTTTTCCTCAAAAAACCACATCAGTGCGCATGCGCTGGCAGATAGAAAAAAAAAAGGAGATCCACGGACAGACGTAAAAATGGGAAAAACAGTGCAATAATCACTTATTCGTGTCTCTAACTACATTGCTTGCTGTTTTATATCTTAGGGTTAGGGTCAGGGTTAGGGCTAATTGTAATTTATATTCTATATTCATGAATGATGAGTCAGATGCGCATGCGACGAAAAAAAAACGTCCAAAACGTACGAAATTACGGTGCATAAGTTTTCGTACGATTTCACACGCAATCATAATGAGAATAGGTTGATTTGCTGCACGTAGGCATCTAGACGTGGTGGAGATAACTTCTACAAACCGGACATCAGAAGGAATAAAAGAAACTTCAGGTATATCGTTGGTGTCATCCATCCATCCATCCATCCATCCAACCATTTTCTGTCACGTTTTTCCCCACTGGGGTTATTAGGGGTCCCTATCTCCAGCTGTCAATGGGTGAGAGGCGGGGTACACCCTGGATAGGCCACCAGTCCATCGCAGGGCAACACGGAGACAAACGGGACAAACAACCATTCACGCACACACTCACACCTTAGGACAATTTAGAGAAACCAATTAACTTAACAGTCGTGTTTTTGGACTGTGGGAGGGAGCCGGAGTACCCGGTGAGAACCCACGCATGCTCAGGGAGAACATGCAAACTCCATTCCAAGGACTGGAATCAAACCCAGAAGCTCTTGCTGGGCCACTGTGCAGCCCTGGTCGGTGTCAGTATTTAAAAAAATACATTACTGCGATATTCATGCACCACTATATGTTAGGTCTATAGAGGAAGAATCCAGTGAGCATCTGTTGCACCGAGGATTTCCGAGCAGAATAGACAAACTGCTAGTACTTAAAATAAGCACTAATTTCACCCACGCAATGCATTATTTAACTAAAACGACTTAGATTCTCTGAAGTTGGAGATTTATGTTCAGTGGCCAAATCTGCAGCAAACATTATAAGGCCCCAAAATCCATATGGATACCTCGTTAAAGCTGAAGCATTTATAAACCCAAATTAATCAATCATGTCTGTGATAAGTAGGTGGAAACCTCTGACTGGAACTGAAGCTTAATCAATGCAGTCGATAACTGAAGTATAGAACGATGTTTGAAAACACTGCTGTTAATTTAGAGTATGTTATTTGGGCTACATAAATCCTGTTGTGTTGGTAGAAAAATAAAATCTACATTTTCATTTGATCAATTAAAAATGGAGATTCCATCTGGCTTTAGGAAACAAAGATAAAATTTAAGTAAACTTGTATTTATCTATCCTCATCCTCTCATGTTTGCTACATGTACCTGCAGCAGTTGTTTCCCTTAAAGTCAGAGATTAATACTTAAACACATATGTGACAGATACATTTTCTGACTTTTACTAAGCTCCTGCAGATTTTTAGTTACCTGCAGGTATCAGGTTGTGACTTGTTTGTTCATCACTAAATGTTTCCCTGGCTCTAAGCAGCATAGCCCTTTAACTTTGTGCCATTTGTAAATCAAAATAGCAAAACATTAATGAGCTAGGCCTGAAAGATTCTCATAATACTGAAAGGGGTTAAATTATCTGCAGTGAATGATCTACCATAAAATCCTTGATTCAATGCCTACTATTCTGGTTATCTGTGTCTAAAGCAGAGTGCTGTGAGTGTTGTGCATAGCTGTCTCTGTGGAGCACTAAACTAAGTTGGATTCAAGTGAATAATACAACCACAGACGAAATGATCAGTCTTCATACAATATATCCTGGAGAATGTTAAACAGGGATCTCTGGTTTCCCACGGAATCCATGTTCTGACTGTACCTGGAATTGTCAGGGTGTCTGCAGAGGTTTGGGAGAGGGACACGAACCTTGACTCTCAAAGCTAGCTGCTCTTCCCTGCCCCTGCAAGGCAAAATATAACAGTTACTGAGGCTTTCTGTTTGCTTTGGTGAACTGATCTGGTAATTCATAGACTTAAAAGAACACACTGTGATCATAGGCAAATTTAGACAGAAAAAAAAAAACAGAAGTTCCAATAAAACCCTTTAAGGACCCTCAGAAAGTCTGCAGATTTTCTTAACATAAAGGGTGAGCTAAAAGCAGGTAGACTTACCAAGGAAATGTAAAAATAGGTTAGGAGGTAATTCTAGTGCAAACTATTAAACCCTTTGAATTAAAAGTTGATTCTCAAAGTTGGCAAACCAAACTACAAACTGTCCTAATTAAAAACCAACCTTTAATATTTGATCTGTTTACACTGAAGTCAGAACCCAAGACTTTTAAGCCTCCATGATTAAAATAGTGAGAAAAAACCTCCAGAAAAGCTTAGCTTCTGAGCTAACATTGAGCACACATTAGATCCTTTATTAGTTTTCATTAATACTTTTTTATGTGGGAGTAGAAATGTCAGGAGGAACTCTGGTGTTTTTGCGTCTCTATTCTTTAGCCCAGATGGTTGGATCTATATGTCTCTGATTCTCTTGTCTGTACAAGCAACTTATTTAAATATTCTATGTATATACTCTATATTCACCTATTCTTTGATATAGAAACCTATTTGATAAAAACAAGGAACATTTTCAACAGGTGACCCACCTGACTCATAAACTGGGGCAGGGGAATCTGAAAGTTACACCATCATGACAATTCAAACTTAACACTTGGAATACATTTATCTACAATTATTAGTATTGTTGTGCCGATGCCATTTTTTTGGCTCCCGATACCCGATACCTGGCTGTGCAGTATCGGCTGATACCATCCGTTTCAAATGAATGTGTGTGTATATGAAGAACTGCATAATATTTGGATGTAAAATAATTGCCATCTTGGTTTTGTCAAGCTGCTGCCTACCTTTGTGAAGCAGGAAAATGACTAATAGAAAGTGAATCCAGTAGAACTTTTTATTGCCTACCTAGGTGACAATAGTTGAATAAACTTTTGGTTCTCAAAATGGTATCAGTGCTCTATTGTCGGTACTCACAGATACTGGTATTGGTACAACACTAATTATTAGTTATTTTGTAATATGAATATTGCACAGACTGGTGATATATTTGCATCATACAGTGGAGCCTAACAGTAGATTCAGAAAATGTAGTGTAGAAAAGAAAATAGTCACCTCTTAGTTTGGAAAAGTATGGCTGCATTAACACTTCCATTCCAAACATAATATTTATACTGTAAAAACATAAAAAAAATACTTATATCATGCATAAATGAATAAATAAAGAGAAGTCAAATAATAATAATGATCCTTGGTCTGAATGTCCAAGAACGTCACGACTTTCTGAAACATCTCTGAATATATAAAAAAGAATATTTGTGTTTTTAGCTTAAATATAAGTGTTTTTGCCTTTGATCACAGTTATTTTTCAAACTAAAACTGCAAAAATAGTTTTGCTACTAGAAACATGTAATCACCTGTTTTTTCCTATTCATCAGGTGGAGAGTAGGTGTGACAAAAGAAGAACAACAAATTAATTACACTAACTTTAGAGAAGCAGTTCCCTTAGAGAAGAAAACTTATGTTCTGTTGCTTTTAAGGAAGACATCAAACCTTTTACCTTGAGTTCGTTTAAAGATGCAAAAACCAAAGAAAAAAACTTTAAAGAAATCTTAACTCAGCTGACAGGGAATATATTTTTCCAGCATTTGCACCTTTTTCTTTATTTTTGTCAGATTTTCACACAAAAGTACTTTGATATTTTCAAAGTAACCTTCACAGATGCTAATGATGCTGCCTCTGTATCTTTGGTATTTCGAACGGCTAAAAATGCAAATAAATTACATATATAAACATTTAGCAATCCTGTCTTTTCAACCTAGAGTAAAACCTGGTAAATGTCACATTCAGGACTCCTTATGAATCTCGGTAAATAGTAGCTGCTGAATCTCAGACTCAGGAAATAAATGCAAACTAGCTAAAAAAGGGGACAGTTATGTACCTCTCCCAGAGCGTGCCAGTGTGTGATGGGCTTCCGCGGGTAAGCCAACATCTCATTCCAGTGATCTCGTCCAAGACCCACTGCATCTGGACCTGCTCGACACACACCGATCACCTCATTGTGTCCAACCCTGTTATGAGTAACACACTTCAATTAAGATGCAATTGAATCACAAAGCAATGCTTTTTCCTTGGCCTAAACGGAGGCAGAACTACAACACAATAAAAAACAATGTAAAGAAAGAAATAGTGCATAGATTAGAAGTGAAATAAAAAGAGGTTATTAGCTTAGATTTTTTTATTTTTTTTTGAGACTGATGTACAGATTTATGTAGAGCTGCACCAGTTAAATGGTAAAAGAAAATTCTGTAGATTATCCTTGATTAGTTTCAGTTAATAAGCAGCACGTCATATATAATATATATACAAAAATCCACTATTTTGTGGTTAATAAGCAGATAAAAACCAACAAAATTTACAAAAGATAAAGATATATGCTCCATAATTAAATGCTGATAATCTTGCAGTTGATGGTTGATTTTAAAGTAGAAGTCTATCAAAGAACCTGCTGCATATCAGCTCTCCTTATTGCTCATGGTCCTCGCTATTGGTCGTTTTTATACGTTACAAAATACATCTTTACTTTCTTTCATTTTCTTATAACTGCACCAAAAGTTTAGCCAAATAAACTAGCCCCACTTGCCAGCGGCCAAAATCATTGTTGCCTGTGTGTTTGGTCTAGCATCGATCAATGCCACAGGCCCTAGAACTGGTGGGCCAATCACAACGCAGCGATGTGTTTTCAATTTCTGGATGCAAAGCGGGCGGGGTTTTGAGGGCGTGACGACAAAGCTGCGTGATGCTGGAGAAAGCACAACAAGAAAGATGCCAACAACTATTAAATAGTTCTCGTTTGACTCAGCTTTGGAATCAGTTTTGGAAGGATTAGACTTGGGGTTTTCGTTGAAATGTGAGCAGGAAGAGGCTCTGCCTATCATTCATTTTTAAGAAGGACGTATTCGCCATTTTAGCGACAGGCTGTTTGTTTACACTCCCCCACCAGCTTTCTGTCACGCTTCCTATGTCACAGTCAGTTGCGCTCATTGGACAGAGCGTTGGCCAATAGGCACAGACAACGGTTTAAAAAACAAAGGATTGTTCTCATCTACAATCTTCCGATGTCTCATTTATCCAAACTAAATTAGTCCGGTTTATCAGGCTGCCAAAAGTTGCCTCTTTTCCCAAACTATTCCTTATCTTCTATAGTTTTCTGTCTCTGCAGGTTAACCCCCCGCTGTTCCCACACAGCCATTTGGTCAAGAAGATGGAGAAATCATTAATACGGGGGAATGAGTACGAAACTAGCCTTCTGAAGAGACAAAAGTTTTGCTCGTTTGTGGGTTGAAAATATTCCATTTGAAAAAAGGAATATATAAAGCAGAAGGAATATATGAATGTTATAAAGTGGGATTTTCTTGTTTAGATTTTTTCATAGTTGAACACATATGTTGTATACTGTATGCATACGTTGACCTAATCCATGTTAGGGAGTTTGGTCGCTTTATTGATGCGTTTAGTTATTTTAGTAGGTTATGGTTTGCTTGAGTTAGAGGTGAGTCTTCCACTTACCGATCGTAATCCATCACCATGATGGACAGACTGACTTGCTCCACGTTCTCTGGAGGAATGTCGAAGATGATGGCCTCGTTGTAAACGGGGTTGAGTGTGCTTTTCTTGGTGGTGGTTTTCCTCTTTTTCAGCCTCCGTCCGTTACACACCAGGTACACCTTCACGTACGGATCTGTTTATACAAATGGGGAGTTTTCAATGTGCTGAATTTCATTGAAATGAGAAAAGCAAAGTTCAAAAATTTGAGAATATTAATTAATAAATGTTCTATAATTTTCTCTCAAAGCAAAATCTAAAACACCAATGTCTTTTCTCTGTCTCATGTCTCCTGCACTCATTCCGCTCTAGGCGGCCACCTGCTGTTGTATTTCAGCTAATTTTAAACCTCAGTTTGCTTTGATGTCAGCTTTATCTGCTTTCGGGGTTACCTGAAGAGCCTGTGATGTCCATGGCTTTGAGGTTCCTGCATTTGATGACTGTTAGGGTCATTCTCCCCGCTTTGGGCAGATAACACAACGAGTACATAATTTCTCCCAAGTCGATGCTCTCCTGAAGGGTGAAAGAGGAGAAAACAGAAAGACTTTAGCCTGCTTTAAATGAGCCGACCCCATTCTGTGAATTAAAAAGGCACATCAAGACGGTAACCTTTAAAACGATGCAGAACCTACTTAGTTTTCAGATTTCATATTAGCATTCTTTGTATACCATAAAATTCATTTTGCTCTGGGTTGGACTAATTTCTAAGCCGCTATAACATTTAAAACACACATTCATAGTCACTAAATCATAATTTCAAATTAGGAAAAACTGCTATTATTTTTTTCAGAAACAATAACCAATCCATCAAGATAACAGTTGTTTATTTGGGATGTGTGTCTGTTTTAAATACTTTCAATAAAAATGGAGGAAAAAGATGGAGGGAAGAGGTTCGATGTTGCACATCTCTGTATTTCTAATTTAAATCTAACCAGCATAGGTTTTAGGTTTCTACAATAAATGTTAAAAGGCCTTTTAGTTTCCTTCCACATTTCACCCATTGTCACCTGACTTTCACCAAAATGTCTCACATCTGACTCATTTTACTATTAGAGAAAGATAACCTGCATCAAAATAAATAAATAAATCAATTCCCAAATTAAGTTTTTTTTTTTTTTTATGGAAAACAAATCCACAGTGAGATTGTCTCTAAATTAGGAGGACATTCTCTGCCGTGGCTGACTCCAAAATGACTCCAGTGATGCACCCAGGAGCTCAAAGCAGAACTAAAAACAACATCTAAAGCACTGCAAGCCTCACTTGCCTCATAAAAGGTCGGTGGGCGAAACGCCACTCATGGATGAGCTCTAAAGCACGACTTTACAGCTCCACAACATTTTCGAAAGATATGAGTTAAGCTACACAAGTAGGAAATTAAAAGCAATTCAGAGAAAGAACGTCATATTTACAATCAAACATGGTGGTAGCTTGATGGCCCTACGCTGCTATGTTGCCTCTGCATTACTTCTCTTAATTGATGGAAACATGCATTTCTACAACAAAATCCTGAAGCTTAAACAGACACCCAAACTTGAAGAGATGCTGATCAGGGTAGTTTTGTGTTTAAAACCCTCAATGTAAACTTGAATTCAAGAATCCTGCAAAGAAAACTGGGCAAATTTCCTTCACATTAATGTGAAACTCTCCCAGTAACCTCCCTATGACGACGCAATCAGCTATTAAATTTAAGGGGTGTTTACTTTCCTCATAGGACCATGTTGAGTTAAAGCTTTTACCCTTACTGAACAAAATTACTGTTTAAAAAACTGTTTATATTCACTCCCATTCAAGTTACAAAGTACAAATACTTCGTTACCTTAAGTAGAAATTTTGGCTATCTATACTTTACTGGAGTAATTAGTTTTTAGACGTTTTACTTCTACTCCTTACATTTTCTTGTAATTAGCTCCACTTTCTATTCCGTACATGTTAAATTTAGACTTGTTAATTTTGGTTCATTTAAGCTAATTTTCGTTATGGCCTGTTAGTATTTAAAAAAAATGTAAAAGATCAAAATGTGTTTCATCCAGACAATTAATTTATTTGTGGTTGGATTCAATACTGCACCAAAAATAAACAGCCGTTCAAGATTATGCAAAGTTTAAGAGTCACTGTTATCATTAGTTATAAAACTAAGAAACTTAAGTATAAGAAAGTTATCCAGACTTGTAGAAAATGTTCCTTTAATAAGGCAGTGCATATATTTTCTTTTAGTAGTTTTAAAAATTGTACTTTTGAAGTTTTACTTGAGTAAAAAGCTTAAGTTGATCCTCTAACTTCAACAAAATGGTTTTTAAACAGAGGGATTTAAACTTCTACTGGAGTTTTAAACATTAATACTCTTGACACCTCTAATCCCATTATCATTTGAGTCCTTATTAATTCAGACATTACAGCAGTTATTAGGTTCATAGTAATAATCTTAGTCTCTGTTTACGACCCTTAACCCCACACTGCTCCTCGGGCGCTCCATGATGGCAGCCCACTGCATCCCCAAGGGGATGGGTTAAATGCATGGGTACATTTCTCCAATGTGAGATCAAAAAAGTATAATTATCAATAATTTAAGCTTTTTAGCTGAAATGTTGACAGTCAAGGAAACTGCTTATGTACTTATAAAGCCGAAGAGTTATAAACTGGTTGCATCTTATTTGTAGTCAATAATTGGACAAAATGGAGCATGTTTCTAACTCATTTCCATTTCTTTATGATTGCAGGAAAAAACAATGTTTTTTTTAATCAAATCTACCTGATAAATGAAGGTTTGATCTAAAGCGTTACCTTAGCTTTAAATATTTTTATACTATTGGTTCTTTAATAAATATAAATGCTTTTAGTTGTAATTATTATATTAATATGATGCATATACTTGCACTGTTCAACTGCACTAAATAAAACTAGAGAAGTACCAGCTTCATTAATAAAATGTTTTTTCTTTAGAGTTTTTCATAATAATTCTGTGTCTAAAGGTCGAGTTGGTTGTTAAGATAGGTAGATTGAAAGGCAAAAAAACAAAACACCATTAGGTTATATTTAATGCTCTTATCACAGAGAAGAATTAATGTACAACTGCAAATTCTCCAGGGCTCTGAAACACCAAAGGAGCCTCAGACCATCATACTACCACCACCTTTCCCCCCCCAAATAAAACTGGATCAGTTTTGTCCCAGCTGTAATGAATGATTATTTTCTTCTAAGTCTTGAAGATCATCTAAACATATTTAGCTAAATTTCATATAGTTAAGTCATAACAATTAAGCCTTATGCGAAGCAAGTGTGGCCTGCAGGGCTAAATGTCACTCTGGGAATCATTTTTATGTTCCTGTGTGCACGCTTGGTGTCATTTTTTAGTTTTCTTGGGAAAGTTCCCCACTGTTCTATGTACTCCTCCTTAATGGCTAATTGTCCTCACTGTGGTTCAGTGGTTTTGGATGAAGCCTCCAAAACGTTGCTTCAAATAGCTTCTTTCCCCTTATAAATGAAATCATCATCTGAACAAAAACAGAGGTACTGTTTAAGAAGAAGAAGAAGAAGCAAATATTTTCCCACGGCAATTTAAAGAAGATAAAAACCATAGAACCAAGCTGGGAATTCTGGTCTCATTATAAGCCTGCTCCCTGCACTACGGAGGCTGTATCAACCTCTTTGTGTCGTTATGTTCCCAGACAAGAGGACAGCCTTTAGCCTCAGACAATTTTCCCCAGAGAAAAGAAACCACTGCTAAAGAAAACTATTTAATATTGAAAAGGTATACAATAATGAAACCATAAAACTAGGGAATGGCTGCTCCAGACTGGATGTATGACTCAGAGTTTAGATAAGAAAAAGTGTCTAAAACAGTCTGAATTGGTTTTCTTATCAGGAGTTTAGAGATTCCAATGCATCTCCAAGGTCGTTTCAGTGTTCCTACACAATATCTGAGAATGGTACATTAAATATAAGCACATAATATAACTCATAACATGGTAACAAGGATTATTCAGGTTTTGTGAAAAGAGCTAAAGAAAAACAAAATATTTAGGAAGCAACATTTTCTTACTGAGTTTTGATCCAATAAAGTTGCTCTTATCATGGCCAGTTAACAAGTTAGTTAACAATACTTGACAGTTATTCTTAAACATTTTAATAGATGCTGCAATTGTTATGGGTTTGGCATTACAGGAGTGTTAAACCCATTAAATGTTCCTATAAACTTCCTGCTCATACTAACCAGCTTTTAGGTGAATGACATTTAGTGGTGAAGGATGACTTGTTCAATGGAAAACCAACTTATGTTTGGAGGCAATCTCAATGATGAGATGCATCCAGACAATAATCTGCAACCAGTGGCAACTCCATTTCTCTGTCTGCTGTTTTGCAATAAACTCTTTTCCCTAAGATATGGTGACCTTGAGAATAGGTCAGAGATTATATACAGAATTAAGGAACGGAGAGAAAAAAGGCGGATTTTGACCCCACTGAACGCCTGCAGAGATCGTTTAAGACATACTTTTCATGGCAAATTGACCAACAAGACCACACAGTTGGACATGGGACAAATGCTGGTTGATGCAATCTTACAGCAGCCTGTGACGAGTCTGTGCATACACATAGGCAGGTTTTATATATGCACAATACTTGTTATGAGGGATTGCTGCAAAGAAAGAAAAATCAAGAATTTCTGCTGTGCCTTTATGAGCTGCTAGTTTATATGCAGTGTTATGCACATAGGTTTTTAGAGTTTTTTTTACAGTTGTTTCCCTGTGGTGTAGCAAAACTAAGCAAATGAAGGACATAAACCAGTCTTGCCAGCCAACTGACAACCAGGATGACATCTTTGCCAATATTGTTTGTACTTTTATGGAGCAAAGAGCAGAGATCTGTAGGAGAATCTAGCACCATTGATGATAAAAATGAGCATTTATAGCTGTTTACTTTGTAAGATAATCGCTGATCTGTTCAAAATTGAGGTTCTCTAAAGTTTTTAGTTGCTTAAAGTTAGTTTACATTTTAAACACAGGCTCAATGTTTATCGTAATAAATGCATTCATTATAAAGCATAGCAAAGTCTGATAAATGTTGGTGTTAAAGAGAAGGCATATGGCCCAGATCTTCATTTCCTCTATCAGCAGTAGTTTATAGCTGTGCAGTCTGTTTAAGCACCCAGGATTTTTGTACAGTTTGCTATAATAAATCAACTGTAGCTGCTGCTGGGTATTTTTACTCTGTGGTTATATTTATTTGTGCAGAATACCCAGCAGTTTCTGGAAAATGTGTGTGGGTGTTTGGCTGATTAAATGCATTTCCCAAAGCCTTTGAATTATATAATGCATTCCACCTGCTTCTTATATCAAGCAGTGTAGAGCATTCCAGGCTCTCACAAGTGAATTGGTGCAATATTTAGTGATAAGAGCTTTCTAAAAACAACATTAATACCTATTAACAGCATGTTTACCCACAGCAGCAGCAGTAATAGTGGATTTGAAAAGGTCTTCCACTCACCGTGGTAGCAGCGTGGATATCCTTCCATACCACTGCCTCCCTTGAAAGATCTGAGAGTTCGAAAAGGTTGTCCACCACAACCTCGCCAATCATGTCGTGGCTCATGAATCGGTCAAAGTCGTAGACGCTGAAGTGCAGCTTGCGGTTGCAGATCTCATCATACGCCACAGGGAAACAAAAGGTCTCATCAAACGTGGGGTTCAGATTCTTGCGGTGGACCCGTGTCTGGAACTTCTTCTTCCTTTCTGGCAGAAGGTAGATCTTCACATACGGATCGGAGGTGCCTGTAAAGTCCTTGGCAGGAAGGTCCAAGGCCTTGAGGATCTTTACCACCAAGGCCTGCTCCTCATAGTCGTAACGCAGTGAGAAACTGAGTTTCCCACAGATTTCAACATGCCCTTTGGCTTCGTCCTCAGAATCCACTGACTTCTGCTTGTACAATTCTGGTTTTATTCTTCCGATGCTCACTGTAGATGACTGCCGGAGAGGCACTTTGTCCATGCTGAAGTCTACGCTGCTGACATTCATTTGACGAGGCAGGTGGCGCCGGAATGAACTGTGCCTGTTGGAAAAGTCAGAGGACTTTTTGTTAAACATCTGAATATGAAAGAAATAGTTTTTTCTGCAGCGCCTATGAGTGTTTAGTATTTTATCTAGGTCAACAAACATTTCGAGTTTGGTGGAATTCTGATTCTGAGGGTTTCAAATCCTTTCTCTCAAAAAAAAATATCTCCTTTAAGATAAATGTTGTCTTCTAGCCAAAAAACATTATGTTTATCGCATACATGGGTGCACTGAGGCCACTGAACATCATAGTCCAATAAACCACTGGCAGTTCCACCTGCACTTTAAGTTTAACAAAAAAGAAACATATTATTTTACATAATTAGTAAAACATATTGCAGTGAAGGACGCCATTGTTCTGTCATGGTTAGCTCTGGCTTTTTTTTCTGTAATGGGAGCATACTGGGTCTTTACAATGTTAGGTTATCCTCAAAATTCAAATTTAATAAGTTGAAAAACAAAAACCCTGTTCTACTCCGTATTTTATACACAGTATAGAAACATATCAACTAAGCAATTATAAGCAATATCTGAACAACTGACTTAATACTACATACTGACAGAGAACTGCTGCAAATGACCAAAGATGTACTTTTACTCTCTATATTTGACCACAAATATCTGTAATTCTACTTCTTTCTTTCTAAAAACGTATTCATTACTTTTATACACATTGATGACAACCTGCAACAAATGTAAGGAAAAATCAAGATTCAATCTTTTAATCTGGAGCCCAGTTTGTTTATAGAAAAAAAAATCATTTTGACATATTTTGAAACACAAGACATTCCCCATACATTCCTACATAGGTTTAATGTAAAAATGATTTCGAAAAAGTATTTTATTTTTTACTTTAATTTAATTTTGCAACTATTTATTTTTTGGTCTGTAAATTCCTTAATTTACAGAGGATTTGAGTAGCATTTCTGGCAAATACATGTTTACTCTTAAGTAATTTTCTTAATGGGCTCATTTTTACTTTTACTTGAGTAAAATATGTTGGCTGCTTTAGTTTCTGTTCAAAATTGGCCTAATCTTTGGAGATTGAACAAAAGTCATAATGTGTCTTTTGCTTGTATGGTATTTGGAAGACCTGATGCTAGGAAAGTAATACTCCCACATTGCCTTACGACACATCTGACAGTGTAGTATCATTTAATTAACACATATGACAACATCACAGCAATGAACTGATAAAGCAACCTTCTTACATGCAAAACTCGGAAAATGTTTTATGCACAACCTGGAAATCTGGATGCTTCAACAAAGGTGACTTGAACTACATTCCAAATAAATAACCACATAGAGTAGGAAGCAGTTTGGATTGGATGGATATTTTTAATTAACAAATAATAATCAAGTTTAAAAAGGGCATCGTGTATTAAATGAGAGCGGTACTCATCAGAGAAAAAAAAAACTTGAACCCTGAGAAACAAAATTTTAAATGACTAATTTCAATTAAAGTACATATTATTTTACCTGTACGGTGCAGAGATATTAAAGTATTTGATATGCAGGGATAAATTTATCCCCTGCTTGCTTATAAATATGAACACTTTAAAGCAAAGACTGAGAGGAGTTCTTTCATGTCGATTGTTAAACTAAATTTCTATCCAAGTTAAAACAAGATTTGTTGTTGTTGTGTTAAAAAAAAGACATCCTTTACATTTCTATTTGGACCCCATATACCAACTACCTTATTGTGGAAATTTCAGTGAGGTTGACATCTACAGACAAAACTCTGTTTGAACCTCCAATCTTGTCACCTAGCAACTGGTCCTCCCGCTTTCCGACGGTAAGACAATCACAGCAGTGGCACAAATTATACTACATGGGAAGCACAGCGGAAGATTAAATGCAACACTAAAGTATAGTAAACAACAAAGAGGATCTGTGCAGCTGACACGAGGCAGCGAAGAGAAACTGAAGAGAAATTAGCACAATTTAACATGAATTCTCTTTTTTTTTTTCTTGATAATATGTTTTTTTTTTATACTTTTGGTTACATTTTAAATAAACTGACTTTTGTTTGAAATGCTTGATACTGTGACTTTGCGCTTAATTAAAACAATAAAAATCTTGAATTTCAATTAAAATGGTTTGCACTAGCCTGCAGCTTAAGCAACCAATCTATGCTCTAAGTGTATCAATAAATACTGTGCTAAAATCATTCATCATTCTTTGGCAATTCCCAAATATAGAAAGAAAACTCTGATGATCCAGACAAAGTCCTACTGTAGGAAACAATGTAGTGCAAATTCCAATAGGCACCCAGATAGCATTGAGCTAAACCAATTTGATCTTCCTTTAACTGCTTCCTGAAGCAGTTAAAGGAAGGAACTAAAATTTAAAACCATTTTGAAATCATATCTTTGAGTTTTTAGGGGTCTAAAGAGGAGGAGTAGCACGTGTGTAAGAGATAAAATCTTTTTCTATAAGCTTCTTTTGCATTTTAATTATTCTTATTTGATACAAACATAATAAAGAGCAACAAATTGTGTCTAAGTTTTTTTTAGAGTACCGTACATGGGAACACTCAATAGGAGGTAAACCTGGACAACCCTACTGACCGTTCCTTCTGGGATGATCTTAACCATCAATAAGTTATAAGTGATTTTTAGCTCTGCCCTGATGTCTCCTAGCAATCGAGGAAGGTGCCCAAGAGGCCTCCTACTCAGAGACTACGTATTCTGACTCATTCAGAAATGTTCCCCCTTAGCAAAACAGTGGCTTCAATCTTAACCACATCAATAAGACAAAGCCCAGCAACTCCACTGAGCAAGCTTGTTTCATGTACTTGCATCTCAAATCTACCAAAAGGTTGGAATGTTACCCATACCAATTATCTAAGAGTCTTGCCTTTTGGCTCAGCTTGTTTTTCACCTCTACTGATTGGAGCAGGTTCAGAATAAAAAGCCATATCTCCTACTGTATCTTCCCATCCTCTGTGAGAAAAAAAACAAACAAGAAAAGCAAGCTCCTGGTCGAAGCACAGACTGAGGCTCTATCCGAGTGACACCCACAAGGCTAAAGGCTGTCCAGATTCGGCACATCAGTCTGGAGTTCCTTTCCTGCCCTCGACAGTGTTTGCACTGTTTACAAACGAAAGGTGAAGGTCAAAGCTTGCAGAAACAAATAATAAATCCTGTCCTCCACAGCTAAATATTGAAATTCAGGTAATGGGCCCCACAGCCAGGACTGAGGAAAATGCACGGTCCAAGAAGGCTCCAAGGATGTTAGAAATAAGATGGCAGATTTCTAAAGTAATCAGTTACTCAGGCTTTACCACCATCTATGTAAAATATGTTAGGTCTTAATTTTCTATCTACTGTGTAGTGAGGTCACCATTGCTTTACAGCTGCCTTATCTTTACCCATTGGACACAAATCCAAGGGCTCATGCTTTTTACCAGATACATCCTACAGGCTGATTACCATAGAATTAGCTGACGATGTTGATACATTCACAGATTTAAATAAAAGGATTCATCAGCTTTAAAAAGAATTCATTAAACCACATTATTCTGTGTTTCAGATACCTGGATGGCTATAAATATTCCCCACCGTTAGTATTTCACAGTCCTAACATTTAATCAATAATGCATTCTAACTGCGTTTCATTAAAGGGTGACCTTAAGGGGCCTGCTGGATGACAGTTAAACAAAAATATATGAGGAACATTTATCTTCTCCTTCAAATCAATAAACAGTGAAAGAAAAAAAAAACACAAAGTGTCAGAACTATTTTTGTGTTCTCTTTGCTGTCATAACATCCTCTAGCTGAATGATCTCAGGCATTTCTTGGAGAGTGGAGCGGTTGTCAGAAAAGTGGGAGGAAAAGTCTGTGGCAGTGGGCGTTTTAATCTCCAGCTTGGCCTCTCAGGCTGACCGGTGGGTGTGCGATTAATGAAGACCTTGGCAGCAATATAATTGAATTAATGAGCCTAATGACAAGTGTCAATAATGGCTCCCTGTGAGAAACTGATCACAGCTGCCCGCTGTGTGTCACAAGGGAACCTGCCCTTCTACAATGACAGCTCCGGCCCTGCAGCACTGCTAATTATGAACCTTCTAGTTTAAACACAGAGCTGGGGAGCAAAGAAGAGCAAGAGCTGATTGTTTAATAACTGGGGTTTCTTCCCGACGTTGCCATGGCAGCTTGACTCACGCACAAGTGATTATAGGGTTACAACTGCACTGAGAACATATGTCACATATGCTACAGAGATGTATGGCTCCAGTCTTCTTTCAGTTTGCTAAGTCCAAGGTCACTGGGCAGTCAGTGGTGATTTACATGAGACATGGCAAAGTACCTCCAGGACACTGTCAGAAACTGCTTTCAGCACGGAGGGAGCAATTTTTTTTATATTTCTTGGGGAGGATAATACAAACAAATCTAATTTCCTCTAAGTGGAATTGACTGGCAAATGTTATGCATAGTTTAAATTGAAGAAAAATAATATACACGTCTAAAACTCCTTTTTCAGGGCATAACTTTGGATTTAGGATACAAATTTTCTAGCTACTATTTCATTTAGTAGGCCTTTCAACAAATTAAACATGATTATAGAAGCAGGTAAAATTATTCAATCCAAAGCAATGTCAATCTACTATTAATTTTCATTTAACAAGAACAAATAAAATGTCTAAGAGCTTCTGTGTCTCAGAATTAAACATAAAACGCCACTTTAATGGCTACAAGAGCATCTACTTCATGAAAAGCATCTTTTGTAGTTGGCAGAGCCACCGACTGCTCTAATGACCTGCTACAAACATGATTCACAGCCGGACATCAGCTTCCTGCAGCTGTTCGGTAGAATCTTAGCCCACATCTTGGCAAAGGCTTGTAGCTGATTGATATTCTTGGGTTTTAAATCTGCAACTTATTGCTTTTCCCTAATTCTACAACTGATCTTTAAAATGGAACAAATTGTGCAACTATGATGGCCACTCGGAGATCTTCTACGACTCCTGAAAGCAAGCCTTGGTTAACTTTGAAATATGCTTTAGTTGACCAAACTCTTTGAAAGTCCAAAAACTGCAAAGCTTTAGTTTCCTCTCAGATGGTGAGACTTTCTTCAAGTATGTCCTTATACTTGGTGAAGCAGTTCCAATCAGTAATACTTTATTCATCTTTATTAATCTGAAAGGGAAATTCAGCCTTTACACATTTTCAGGACCAACAGAAGCAAAGCAGCCACATATCATTAATATTGACCACTGCTGTGGTTTTCTTTCTGCACAACATGTGTTTCCCTCAGTTTATGACTTATTATTCTTCCTCCACGCACGCCGCTGATTAATTGACTCAAAATGTTCTACATTAGATCCATCGCAGTTTCCCCTTACCAAACTGAATCCTAAAGCCACTTTGCTATTCATACAATCGTAAGCAAATTAAAGATTATATTTGCGTCCTTTAATAAAAACTTTAACCGTCAGCCAGGTTTTGCTTACTCGGTATAAGACAGTTAAAGATTTTGGATCTACTGGCTCCTATAGGAATCTAGTGGAACCCATTAATAACGTCCTCTTTCTGCAATTAGAGGGCATAAACAGAGTTACCTAAAAGGACAACTTTACCAGACCTACTTCAGCCTATGTGTAATATTTGAAAAAATGTGCTTAATAAAGGCAGTGCCAAGCGGACCATGTCCAGCTGACATCACAATATCTTTGGAGAAAACACCACCATTGATTTAAAGTCTGATCTGGTGTACTTGATAAACAGTTTTTATTGCTTGGACTTAAAAAAGCAGTAATTTGTCAAAATAATGCCCAGGACACGTAGATATCACTATAAGACATCCATGTAGCAGAGCTGCCAAGGTTCAGAAAATGACGAGAGTGAGACTTTGGTGTTATGACTCATTTGAACCAAAAAATGTGCCTTTTTTAACGTTTGTTTACACCTTAAGACCAATGTCGTCACCTCTAGGCTAGCGACACTAACTGCCCAGTTAACAGGCTTTGAAACCAGTTCAAGGTCGACCTATACTGATCGATTTGTATTTTCCCAAAAATCACTGAAGATGGAGCGGATATTTGAGGCCCTTGCTAATAAAGCTATTCATGTAATTACACATTGGTGCTGTTTAAATGAATTCATGGTTCTACATAATATTTACAGTAAATAGATTAATGCTATATAGAATTTATTGCTGTATTTTTTGACACTTTTTGGTTGATATATAACAATTTCATAGTGGGACATTCTACATGATGGTATTATTAAAGGGGGGGGCATGGGCCCCCTGTCCCCATTTAGATTCGCCCCTATTTGAGACTATTTCCTTTCAAATAACAAAACAATAACATTGTTTAACTGGAGATATTTATAATGTTGTTTTGTTACACTGTGATGCCTTGATGAAAGAGATGAGGGGCTAATATTTAATCAAATATAAAAAAAACAAAAAACAGATATTATGAAAATTAATATTTGACTGCGAGGAAAAAAAACACATCAGCCCTGGCTTTCTGATCAGTTCAGTGCATAGGTAGTAATAGACAGGGGTTAGCCTTTGTCCCTTTAGAACAGGCCCTGGCCCCCATTATGGCCCCCTTGTACCATAACAAACCATGACATAGCAAAAGTTTAAATAAATTTAAGAGTTTTTTTCTTGAAGTAAGTGTATTTCCCTTGATTGAAGGAGGCAAGACAATTTTCAGATGGAATAAGATGATTTATGTTACCAGCAGAGACCCCTTATTACCAAACTGCACAGCAGCAGAATGATTTCATATCTTAGGTTGCTGATCAGTCAGGGTGACTATTTTGAGCTTTTATATCCGACACAACCAGGATCTAGTCTATTGTTAGCCTACAAAATAAAGCTTGCAGAGACAGTTTCCTCTTTGCTACTTAATCCTCCATCATTTACATTATGTCATAAATATCCTGACATTTCTTATATTTTGATTTTTTTCTTTTCATTTCTAACTGGTGCATTCCAGTTTTTGCCTGCGCTTAAATAAACAGTGTTTTTTAGCGTAAATATTCAAACTAATTTAGAATTTGGCTGTAAATTGTTATAAACCAGTCTGTAACTGACACACAGACACACGGGGAGTTTTAAGTGTTAATTGGGCAAGAGAGATAAATAAAATGTCCACAAGCTGTGCAATAAATATAGGCAATAATAAACTTATAGCAGCCTTAAAGGAAAAGTTTGGTCATATTCATTATTCAAACTTCTGAAAGTACTTTAAATATAAAATTATGACATACTGTTCAATAAATGATAAGTGTTTTTAATTATGAGTATTTTCATTTCAATGTGCTTTACTGGAGACATCCATGTTAGTCAAATTAAACTACTGCCACCTAAAAGCATGGAATATTTTGATATGCACAATAGTTTTTCTACCTCCCATTGAACCTGTAAATCTTTCAAATTTTCTAAAGCCTAAAACTAAAGTTTTCTTTTTCTGGTTAACATCAGTTCAGCAAAGACACGGATGTCATTAATGCATAAAAGAAGAATACAAAAAAGTGTTCTATTTTGACCATTTTGATAAGAGCAAGTCTAATTAAGCAGTTAATACATCTTTAAATCCAAAGTATAATTGTGCATTAATTTAAAGGATGCAGATGTTTGATGGAGAACTCTAGTAAAACCAACAAGTAAATAATATTAATGGAGAACAATGTAGAAAACAGAAAGGTGGGGGAAAAAGCTTCATTAAAAGCAGGCTGTAGTTATCCTGGTGCATTGGTCCCCAGTCAGGTTGATGCAGGTTTGTTGAAATGGACATGGAGGGCAGAGGTGCCTAAAGACCAGGGTTTGGAACCAATGCCTTACTGAAAAATGTCTGTGGCAGGATCATGTTGTGGGGTGGCTTTTCTATGGAGCCAAATCCGCCTTACAGTAGCTTATATTAAAGCATATTGAATATACTTGATGGAGAATGTGTATCCTGACATCAAGAAAAATGATATCCACTCATGATCCATGAGACAAACTGGTTCGGTTTATGTTCACCACTTGTCCCTTATTCTTATTTCTGATTCATAATGCTTAGATTTCAACATTAGTTTGCATTTTGCTTCACTTACTATCGGGTTTGTTTGTTTTATTATGGTGCAGATTCAAACCATTTATAAGTTTAGGTTAAAGCTACTTCTGGATTATTGGTTGAACTGTGTGTTTTGTTTCAAAGTATATTCATGGTATTTGTTTTCCTTTTCACTAACCATTGTTTGTCGCGGTATTTCCTGCTAAATTGGCTAGACGACGTCATTGATTACTTTGCTGGGTTCTACTATTTAAAGGGTTTTCTTTAGAGTAATGCTGTGTTTGTTTTTCTTTAAAGTTACCTTTTGAGTTATCTTGTATCATATTGTTTATTTTGCAGACTCTTTCATTATGTAGATGAGTTTGTAAATTTGATTAATATTTTAATGTTGTTTCTCTTTTTAGACTTTGTTTTTTCTACCTGTTTAATTGTGACATAGTCCACTCAAGAGCAGGTGTGTTGCCAATTGGTTATAGTAGCACCGAGTTCTTGGAAGTTCAGGGAGATGGTTTTCAGAGTTAAAAGTGCGAAATAAAAATCCTCAGAGGAATCTGGAACCGCTAAAGTTATATTCATTATCTGAGCAGCAGAACCACCTAACTAAGAGTAGACTCTTATTAGTAGCTTGGTGTTCATCTAAACAATAGTCTGTATTGGAATAAAACCACTTGATGCTATTTAAAGGAAGGGTCAGGGTAGACTCTACCTGCTAAGAAGACTGAAATCTTTTGGAGTTCAGGGGGGGCTTCTAAACACATCTTTAAGGTTTTAGTGTTGACCCCAGTCATCTTCTATGGACTACTTTGTTGCAACATCAGAAAATCTACACCTAAGAGAAAGCAGTTAGATAAAAGAAAGGCTAGCAGCATTCTAGGATGCTGAGCGACTGGAGGCAGTGGGAGATAGAAAGAAACTGGGAAAACTAACATCTTATATGGGCAATATCTCTTATCCCAAGCATGAAGCTCTTGCAGCTAAGGAGAGCTTCTTCAGGAAAATGATGTTGCAACCTAGGTGCACAAAGGGGTGTATTCATCCTACCTGCAACTGTTAGCAGGGAATGGTGACTTAATGGTTATAGAGGGTAGATGTTTCTTGAAGACCCCTCTGGAAAGCCAGTTTGAATCTCAGACTGTCATTAGGGATGGCTACATGGTGAGGATGCATTTAATTTTAATGCACAGTTAAATGTAAACACAAAATGTAGCCTATTTAGATTGCCTACCAAAAAAAAGTGCAATATTTCTTCCTATGTAAGTTTACCCTAACTATACACTCTTATTCTCTCGTTTTGTTGTCAATTTGGTACAATTCAAATATCCTTAATTTTAGACTATAAATTATACAGTATTTCAGCTACTGTTATGTTTTATTTCATATATATATATATATATATATATATATATATATATATATAAGTGTGACTGAACCACGTCTAAACCGAAGTAGATTTTAAATATTAATCATATCTGTGAGAACAATGTTTGAAGTGTGTAAGACTGCACTTGTTACCTTGAGGAGGATGTTGGCTCAGTCGTCTGCCTTTGGATCTTTGTCGGCTGTCTGCTGATCTTTTCCTTTAGAGCTGTTTGCACCTCTGCGGGAATGTCTGGCGACGTCTGACTGATCTTCATAGCTCCTTCCAGATACTTTACAGAACTACGTCCATTTACTTTTACCTCCGGCGGGTGTTTCTTCTCCACCTCCCCCACTTTGCACTCGATGACAGGAGTGGAGCTGGGAGGAGGCGCCTCGGGGAAACCCACATGGAGGCCGTTTTCAACATGGCCAGACAGAGTTTTGCTCCTCCAAATAGGCCAGCACAGCTTCCAAAAGACAAAGAGAGAGACTACCAACAAGGCGAGGCCACAGAAACCCACGACCACAGCAAGGAGACTGATTGAGATGTCTGCATGAATTAATCCACAGAAGAACCAGGTGTGACACAGGACGGATATGACATGAACATGCAGGGGAGAAAAGAGAAAACAGAAGAAAGAGCAACTTTAAGGAAGAGCAAACAGGATATGCATGTTTTAAATAAAGCTCAAAGGTAGAGACTTTTCAAACTGCCACAGTGTCAAATAACTGCTTGTAATATAGGAAGACTAAAGTAAATTTTCATTCTCTAATATGTTCTCATTACACATATAATGTGATACATTTTACAGCTTTTTTTTTTGCTGAATACAAATATAGATTTTTTAAAAGTTATAAGACAAAACAATGATCTGGTACAGCCTACACAGTAAGAAGAAATGTCCATAATGCACTCCATGAGGACAGTAAGCTACCAAATGTGACTGAATTTGGATCTTAATTCTCTTAGTGTTTTCAAGCATATTAATGGAAAATTCAATGGAAGGAAAAAGTGATTAAAACTATGAAAACAGGAATAGCAGTATATTTATAAAAATGTAAAACTGCCAAATATTCTTTCTTATTTCCAGAAAAGGTTATTTAAACATGGTTTTAGAGCTCATCATAGCATGGAAACAGCTCTGGTGAAAGTCACTAATGATATTCTCATGGCCTCAGATGATGGACTTGTATCTGTACTCGTCCTGTTGGATCTCTGTGCTGCATTTGATACAGTTGATCATAACATTCTTTTGGAAAGACTTGAGTATTTTATGGAGTGAAGTGGTTTAACTGTTATTTATCTAACAGCTTTCAGTTTGTTCATGTTAATAAAAAATCTTCCTCATGCTCCAGGGTCACCTGTGGAGAACCACAGGGATCAGTGCTGGAACCAACTCTCTTTACTATATATATGATCCTAATTGGTAGAATTAATTTCAACTGTTATGCTGATGATACCTCGCTATATCTGTCTATAAATCCAGATGAAACTAACCTATTACATAGATCACAGGCATGTCTTGAAAACACCTGGATAACTCTCATCTTCTGTATGCAAACAAAACAGACGTTATAGTCTTTGGACCAGATTCTTTGAAAAAGAACCTGATAAGCCAGTCACTTTATTTGGAAGGGGTGATTTTTTTCATCAGGACACACTATCTTAGCTTCTCTGTGTTGGCTTCCTGTTAAATCCAGAATAGAATTTAAAATAAAACCTTAAATGGCAAAGCTCCATCTTATATCAGGGACCTGATTGTTTCTTATATTCCTTACAGAGCACTTCACCCTCAATTTACAGCTTTACTAGTGGTTCCTAGAAATTCAACACCATCCTGGAGAGAAATATCAGCTGTGGTGCTGCCATTGACATCTATTTTTGTTGGAGCTTGGCCTGTTTTTCAGTGTAGTCCTGTTTCTTGTACTATGACTAACTGTATGTGCTCTCATTTGTCCCTTGACATGGGGGCTGGCTCGGAGCACAGTTGCCTGGCTGTGTGTTTCCTGGAAGGGGCCACCTGTGGAGCTGGTTGATCAGTTGCCTTTTGTATCCCTGCTTCTTTTTCTATGTCTGCTTCTGTCTCCTCGGACCCTAGTCGGCCTCAGCAGATGGCCGCTCACACTGAGCCTGGTTCTGCTGGAGGTTTCTTCCTGTTAAAAGGGAGTTTTTCCTCTCCACTGTCGCTACAAGCATGCTTAGTGTGAGGGATTGCCTTCGGGTCAATGAGTTGATGCAATCAACTGGTTTTCCTTAGATAAAGATAGACAATCTGACTGTATCATCTGGTTGAATTGTCTCTGTACAGTGCCTGAGATGACATGTGTTGTGAATTGGTGCTAAATAAATAAACTGAATGTAATTTAATATATATTTATGGTAGGGGGGCCATATCCTAATATTTTGACCCAAGGCTGTCAGCTGGACTGTTTTTTTTGCTATCGTTCTTTGTTTGAGCAATGTCACTGATCAATCCACTTCTAATACACCACACTGCAAAATAATGAATATAAGTATCATATGTGCAAGTAATGTATCAGGTCAAAACGGTATTAAACCATGCTTAAAGTTAGTTTAGCAAGCAAAAGCACTCCTGTACATGTGTGCATCCCAGATTTTTTCCTAATTTAAAAGCTGTTGGCATGTCATGTCAGCAGGTACTGCACTGCAAAAATGGTCTATAAATAAGTGAAAATGTCTTAAATTAAGTGTATTTAATCTTCATTTGAGTTGGTAAATAGGATGATTTGCCAATGGAATGAGTATTTTTACTCTTAAAATAAGATTATTAGATAATATACACTTGAAATAAGACAATTAAGTTGTTTTTTTCTTATTTTAAATGCAAATTGTCTTGTTCAGTGGTAAAGTGTCTCACTTACCTCCTCAATTCAAGAAAAAATGCACTTATTATAAGAAAAAATTAAAAAAATTTGTAGTGTGAATCAAAGCTTTATAGTTTCAAAAGAGAAAAAACATAAACACTGATATTTTTTCCCGTTTATGTAAAAATCCTGGCACTAACTAAAACCTAAATAGGTTAATAGGTCTAATTGCTATTAAATCAACTACTAATCCAATCCAATCCATCTCTCTCTCTCTTTACTAATCTGCTCTTCTGTTCTTCTTGTATTTCTGAATAAAATGGAAGAAAATGAACTAATGAATGACTCTACTGTACGTAATCAACTTACTGCAAGAACTTTTTTCGAGAATATTCTTATCCTTTGAGATCCACTTGCATTTTAAATTTTGGCCCCTCCCACCGAGGACCTTCACCTCAAGATAATAAATTAAGAATTATTTAAGAAAAATTTCATATACTTCAACCCTAATAAAGTCTTTATGCAATAACTTTGAAATGAATACATCTATCTATCTATCTATCTATCTATCTATCTATCTATCTATCTATCTATCTATCTATCTATCTATCTATCTATCTATCTATCTATCTATCTATCTATCTATCTATCTTATTTCGCTCCTTTTCCAAATTTGATGAGTTCTCGATAAATAAAATAACTTGAAAAGGTGGATGAAGCATGGAAACACGTAAAAAAGGAAAATAAAGCAAATGAAGGGTCAGGAAAGTGCCTTTCTGTTGCGCCTCACCTGTTGCAGTGTGGTCAGGGTGGACTGCGCGCACTGCAAGATGCGTAACAGGTAGGTACAGTTTCAGCATTTCATGACCAAATTTGTTTTTCTCCTCAGCTCATCGTCTTTACATTAAATTCAGTAAAAGATATTAGGAAGTAAAAACTTTTTTTTTTCTAATTTACCTGCGTATCCTTTACCTTGGATGCTGCTCTCCGAGGGGAAAATATCCGCACATTTCTCTCGGTCCACGTGTCCTGCAAGGCAAAGCTCCGTAACGATCTGGAGAGCCCTTTGGCACAGGGTCATGCTGTCCTCCGCCCGGACACTCATGTCTCTCCTGTTAAGCCATTGCACTCCAGACGAGACGGGTGGGCGGTGGTTCATTTGGGCACCTTTCTACGCGCCGCTGACAGCAGAGAGGAACGCTGCGTCCTGATCCATAACCAGCGCGCAGCGGTGCCAGAGAAGCAACTGGTGGCGTTCCCGCGATCAGAGTAACAGTAAGCGGGGTGGCGGAGCCCGACCCCTCCCCTGCACCCAATAGCAGTGCGCCTCGGTTTGGCTGTAAATCCCGTGGGGGGGTTGGTAACGAGATTACATTTGCTGGTAATACTGGAGTGTTCCCCATGAGCGACAGGCGACCTGTGCGTGTCCCCGCATGCATGCTGGTTTATAACCATCAGTCCTCATCCTAAAACCTGCACATGATGTCAGCATGTGATGGTTTACCACTTGAAAAAAATATTGTAGTATTAAAAAGTTCCACAGGGACAAAGTACAAAAAAAGGACACAATGTTCAGACCAGTTTAAAATATGGATTTACCATCAAGTGGTCTGCTGGTCATTACAGCAGTGTGTCAGTTTTAGCAGGTGTGGGATAGAAATGTGTTAAATAGATCAAATGAAGGACCCAAGAAACTGCTTATTTGACCTCTTTCTACTCATGCATATGAAGCCTAGCAAAATGATCAGAGGTGTCAAGTAACAAAGTACAAATACTTTGCTACTGTATTTAAGTACACGTTTTAGGTATCTATACTTTACTCCATTACTTATTTTTCTTCCTACGTCTTATTTCTACTCATTACATTTTCACACAAGTATCTGTACTTTCTATTCCTTACATTTTTAAAACAAACGTTACTCGTTACTTTTGGCTTTGGTTTAATGTTTATAAATATTTATTTCACATCATGTGAGTCAACCAATGCAGATCATTGGCTCCATCCACATCTAGTGAAAACTAGTGTCATTAGATGAGTCCTATAACGCCAACACTCATTGGTTAGCTAAAGGAAATCATCAGAAGCAAGCAGGTGTTCTTCAAACTGTAAACGTGAATTGTCTATGCCATGCTACAATGTCAGATTCAGAAAAAGATTTTGAAATGTCTGAAAGGTCGGACACAGGCGAGAGCGTATCGGGAGATGGAGACCAACAAGACCTCCCTCATCCTTGGCTCTATCTCAAAGAATTTTTCCAAATAGTCTAAAATTTGAGCTTTCAATTTATATAGTGGCATCTGGCTGTTTCTTTTTTAAAGGTTACTTCATACTTTTATACTTTAAGTAGTCTTGGAGCACATACTTTTTCACTTTTACTTGAGTAAAGAGGTCAATTTTATACCAGAGTGTTTTTAAACTGCAGTATCTATACTTCTACTTAAGTCACAAATGTGTGAACTTTTGACACCATTGAAAAAGATTTACTGTACTTCTTACTTCAGGGTTGTTACATTCACAAATTAAAATATTCAGAGGATCTTATCCTCAATTAAGGTGACAGTTCTTCAAAAAACGGTAGATAATTTGGAAATTAAAGCAAGACTTGTGTATGTTGTCCAAATACTATAATAAGTACCCGAGCTGAGGGGGACAAGTACCCATACCATCCCCTGTGACATTTTATTGCTGAATGTGTTCAATTTCTTTTATATATTAACAGTAATGTCAGGGTTCCTGTGTGTGGGTTAGTGTGAGTTGTGCATCACTATTATAGAGGATCTTTGTGGAAAACTTTGGGAGCCTACACAGGTGAGAATAATCTTTATAATCATGAGCTGCATTATCTCCACTGCACAAACCATATTTGCAGCGTTGTCTGTAACATCTACAGGGTGTTTGCTGGTCAACCCCCATTTGTTAATGTCTGCAGTAAACCAAGTGGCTATATTTGCAGCTCTCTGGCTTGAAGTAATCTTGAGTGCATCCTTCCTGCTCATTTGAATGTGAACATCACGCGCGTCACTATAAAACTAATCAATCTCATTCCCTAGATATCGATTTTGCAAAAATGTTAAGGAATCTATTCAAAATCGATTAAACTGTTTTTTTCCCCCCAGCCCTACTTATTATATGTATTAAACAAGATTTTTGTGGCTTCCTTTCAATGGTTTATTTATGCCCACCTTACAAAAGGCCAAATCTGTGGATTGTATGAATTATATAGTTGTCCTGATGTCAGATTATCCCACCTAACCGTAGTTTTATGCAACTAATAATGCTCTTTTAGGTGCTTCTCTAATTAATGTCCAGCCTGATATTTTAGTAAACGTCCATTTCTTTATAGATTTGCACTCGTGAAAGATAATGAATTGAAAGGGGGCTTCATCAGGTGTAAAAAGAGTGTGATATATTTTTTTATATGCTTAAAAACTTTGGACTTTGGACTCTGTTTGAATTCTTCTTAAACTCACTGCTTTGTTTGTTTATATTTTAGTTTTTATGACTGCTTATTTTCTTACCTTTGCTGTTTTATGTCTTTCATTCTGAGAATTTTATTAAGTCATTTATTGAACGGCACTTTGGTTGTCCTTGCAGCTATTTTAGGATGACCAGTGAATAAAGAGGAATGTTATGGTATAATAATTTCCTGACAGACCTCAAGGCTTTCACACAATAAATGGATTTACATTGTATTACAGTTATAAGGCAAGTTTTTGTTGTATTTCTCATGTATTTTATAACATTCATGTTATTATTGAATGGGTGTATTGCCCTCAGATGATCTGATATTAGTGAATCTCACACCTGAACAGTTGTGAGCGCAATTATTGTGGACAGCTAGTGTTCAAAATAAATGTGTGGCAGGTAATATAAGGGACATTTTTCCATGGTCTTACTTTTTTTGTGAAATTAAAAATAATTCTTAATATTTTAATCTTTTATAACAAAAATTGGTTGATTGATTGACTTAATTGATCTCACAGTGGAGAAATGTACTCTTTACGACAGCTGATATAGTCAAAAAGAGAAGAAGGGACTAAAGGAAGAAAAAGGTGCGTGGGGTACATGCAGTATTCACAGTGCATCCACATATGACAATTTTTATTTTATTTTTTTTATTGTAGGATTATTATACAGGGTGTTTACATGGGTATTTATATAGATTGATATATATATATATATATATATATATATATATATATATATATATATATATATATATATATATATATATATAGATATAGTTATTGTACTGGGTTTCAAAAATAGAGAAACAGGCTATTGCACATGGTATCAATGGTAAGTTAAAAAATCTGCCTTTTTGAACTGTTGGACTTTTGTATGGCCATGACCCAAACTTCCAAGACATTTAGATAAGTGGATTGATTTCCTTTAGAGTAAATCTGTAATTCATAAAAGGCCCAAACTTTATCCTTCATGTTTAGGCCAGTAAAGGAATGTAGCAATGCCATTAATCCTTCATCTTTATGGCTTTTACTGACTAGTCACAAAGAGGCAAGCTTCCATGCATGCAATGGAACATTATCCAGCATAATTTAAAATTATTACCTCCTTAAAATGCTTTATGATGTACCATTGCTTGAAGAAAGTAAGCATGACTCCATGGACTTTTGCTTGGATTTGACAAAGTTCTAACCTGACTCCGCCAGATGGATTTGCTCCGCATATCCATCTGGAAACCTTCCATTGAAGTAATTTTGGGAAGGGGCGAAAATACTGGTTAGCTGATTGGCCTATGTTGGTGATAGACGGGCCAAATAAACCAATCAGATCAGTATGACGTACTAACAGAGCGACGACGAAGAGGAGCCAATTGATAGATCAAACTCTTGCCGAAACCAGTCGGGAGAAGACAAAAACATCTTTTCCTCTGAGAAAAGCCTCCAGAGCAGTGTTTTGCTCTTCTTTCAGTGAAGAAATACTCTGTAATTCCGATAAAACTTGCTCGATAGCCACGCTGACGCGAGTTTCATCGGCTGAAGCCGCCATGTTCTTTAGACTGAACGGTCGCGCTTCTCGTTGCGTCACACCTCAACCCGCCTCAAAGCCAACTCTGATTGGATGTTCGTTTGGTGAACGGCTCCAAATTTTCTTTAACGGAGAGTCTCCAGACTGATCTGCGAGTGAAACCTTGAAAGCTCGCGAGATCAGGATGGTCTCACGAGGCTAACAAAGTTCTGGGGTTTTGGCTGAAATCAGATTTTTATATACATTCACCTGATTCTGATACAATCACATTCCACAGTACAACCTTCAACAAGAGAGATCACATGTTATTAAGGAGCCTCAGGATAGTCCACTTCATATTTCTGTTCTGGAGCTCCCAAAAAGGGGATCATTTAGGCATCTTCCACCCTCCATCTTCTTGTTCTATTATTAATTGGGAGGACTTTGGATTAGAAACAGCACTAAGGGGTCCAGGAGTACGTTCCTCCATCTTCCTGCCATGATCCCTTTATCATCTGGCCAGTCTTCTGAGACTTGGCATTGGCAAGTGGTGCTTTGTGACAGTCTCTTCTGAGGGTTCCTCCAGTATCCATACCACTTTCCAACGATTAGAACATGAGTTCTAATGTTATTCTGAAAAGCTCTGGTTTTGGTTCTTTCAGTCTGTGGGTTAACCTCCAGAGCCTTAAATGTTTACAGATACTTCAAACCTGTTGTTTAATTTTACCCTCAATTCCTATTTAGGATTAAAGAAATTACAATACAATCAAAATTGTTGCATGATAAAAAATATTATTTAGAACTAGCAAATAACATTAAAACAGAAAGTCCTCTTTGTTTCCCCAAATGCACAAAAACAGTGATTAAAGATGATCATGGAATCCAGTAGTAAGAACCCTCCACATTAATAAGCTACCCATCTGAAAATATTCACAAAACCTTAAATCAGATTTTTATTTCCAGCAGCAGAGTCTTGCACTGAATAACAGAATAAACATATTTCACCATTTCTTTTTGCACATTATATTCAAGTTGTCAACATGTTTTACTGACAAAAAGAAATTAGGTCTGACTAGAAATTCAGGCTTTGTGTAGCATATCTGCAACTGAAAGAAGAGCAGCTATATAGAACAAATCAGGACAAAAATAACATCCTAAGCAGGATTATGAGACGTTGCAATGATCAGAAT